TGTTCCATCAAATCTTCTCCTTACACCACAACAAACAAACTCAAGTCAAGTTCTAGTTGAGAAAAGTCAGTCTGCTGCTTTTTACCACTGCCAAGCAAACAACGGTGTTGGAAATGACACTCACATTGTAGAACTTATTCGGACTGGTGAGAGGTTTTTCCTTTTTCAAAATTGAACAGGGTAACTATCATGAAAAGTATCCAGTGAACATAATTTGTGTAGAGTGGGATAAAACCAAATTTGAAGTGTATTCAATCAATTAATAAGAATAAGAAGTTTGCACCCTTAATTTATTGTGATGATCTAAAAGTTCGTTCCCTTTACTAATTGCGCTCTTGTCAGTTTTGATAATTTGTGACACTAAGCAATTCCCTCTTTTTTTGCCTTGTAAAATTGCAGTGTTGAATAATAGATGTTTTGTGGTTTAATTGTATTATCCCCATTTTAATTTACTTTCTATTTCCCGGTATGAGAGATGTAGAAGTAATCAGCACTTACAATATTTTAATCAACAGCAAAATCAAAGAAAATTGTTCAGTTTGAGCCAGACAGTAAAATGCAGTTTGATGAACAAGGCACTTTGCGTCTTGCTTGCATCAAGCGATGTGGCATCTTTTGCTACAGCACCCTCTTTAAAGATGGTCGTCAGCTTTCCGTTGAAAAAAATGACTGGCGTGTCAACATCACAATAATACAGTCACCTAACGATAGGTATGAAAGCAACAAGATATTGACAATAAAGAGATTGACGCTTAATGACACAGGAAGCTATCGTTGTGGTCTTGGTGTTCTTTTTGGTTTTGAATTTGATGAACTTAACATCACTATCAAAAGTAAGTAAAGTTCAGCATTCATTGAGCAGACTCCAGTTTAACCCCTAAGGCTGACTAGCATCTAACTCCTCCCTACATATTTATATGCTAGCATTGGCATATAGTTTTGGAGGCACAGTTGTATTCTTGTGCCATGATAAAATTTTTTGTATGATGACAGACCTCGATGCAAAACTTTTTTCTCTCATTCATTTCTTGTATTTCTGCCTGTAGAAGTGTTAGTTGGAGGAAGGAAAAAATTCATTAAGAACTGACAACCTATGTAGGATCCCTAATGCTGAGGAGGTTTTAACTTGAAGCCGGTTTTATCATGTGAGGTTAAAATTGGAGGAACAATTTGTTATGTAGCTAACTGAACCCTTATCCTTCAGGTCCCTTGGTGCACTCATGGTATTTAGGTATCAGTAATGATGTACAAATCATGAGTGTGTCACTGCATGTATATTGCTTTTTGTGGCACAGCATATCGGAAATGAAATCCGTCAATCATCAGTTATATTTTTCTTCTGCAGAATTAGTTGCACCAGACATCAGCAAGTTACCAAATAAAACTGTGATTCAAGATGACGACTGGCAAGTACAATTGTACTGTAATGCCACAGGCTACCCAAAGCCAATCCTCACTTGGTACATTGACATAAATGGAGAAAAAGTGCGCATCAATGAGAAAGAAGAAGGACTGGGTGGAAATGTAGATGCTTGTCAGAAACGGACGCCTGGGTACTTCTTTTTGGTAGACAGCAATCCCTCTGACCTTGTCATTTGTAGCCCCAGCCTGCAACATGTAGGAAAATACACATGTCTTGCTAGCAGCCCCAGATTCCAAGATAAGGAACAAAGTGCATTCATCAATGTGCTGAGTAAGTGGTATTACATTGCAATGTGATATGTAAGTCTTTGGATGCTGTGCATCATCACTGGCTGAACTGTCTGACTCCTGAGAGTGACTACCATCTCAGTTCTCCTTTCCACACCAGCCTTGAATTGAATATTAAGGTCACAAGAGTGTAGAGGAAGTAATCACCAACTAAAAAGGCTCTTGATTAAGTAACAAATTCTCTTAGACAGCACCATAGGAAATGTATAGGGAACAGTATGGAGAATATGCATATTTATTTTGGGGTGTAAAGAGTAAGTATGTACATACTGCCGTCACGAGAATGAAGGGAATTGTTGCTATTTCAAGTTCTCCTTAGCAGTGTTTTAGAAATATATAGAGAAAAGTATAAGGAATACAGGTGCTGGTGTTATGGAATCAAGGGTTTGAGCTGTCCTCTGTATTCTTCATTGACTGTGAGCTGCTTGGAGTTCGGATGATTGAGTATCCATTACAACTGACATTAGAACAAGTGGCTCCATCTTAAAGGTTGTCTTGTATTTGGAACTGCTGCAGAGGAGAAACATTCTCTAACAGAAGGAAATCTCTTGCCTCTTAATTACAACAGGCAATGGGGGAATGGTGGAAAATTACATGTTCAACCAAGTTATGCAAGTGATACTTAATGTCTTGTTTAAGTGCTACAGTTTAATGTGTAAATGTTTGTGTTCTTTGCTGTTCCCTGCTTGGTCTCAAGAGCCTCTGCAGGTGAATATGGCTCTTCCATTTTACAGTGTAAAAGTGTTTGCATTGATTTTTTGTTGTTTTTGATTTTGGCCTTGTTAAGAATCCACCCCTGTTACAAGAGCTGGAGGGTCTCCATTGAGCACTGGTGCCCTGGTTGGAATTGCCACTGGCGTGGGTGCGTTTGTTCTACTTGTACTAGTGATTTGTTGTGTAGTGTATCGCAGACAACGATACACCACACAACGCAGACAAGCAGTGTTTTAGAAATATATAGAGAAAAGTATAAGGAATACAGGTGCTGGTGTTATGGAATCAAGGGTTTGAGCTGTCCTCTGTATTCTTCATTGACTGTGAGCTGCTTGGAGTTCGGATGATTGAGTATCCATTACAACTGACATTAGAACAAGTGGCTCCATCTTAAAGGTTGTCTTGTATTTGGAACTGCTGCAGAGGAGAAACATTCTCTAACAGAAGGAAATCTCTTGCCTCTTAATTACAACAGGCAATGGGGGAATGGTGGAAAATTACATGTTCAACCAAGTTATGCAAGTGATACTTAATGTCTTGTTTAAGTGCTACAGTTTAATGTGTAAATGTTTGTGTTCTTTGCTGTTCCCTGCTTGGTCTCAAGAGCCTCTGCAGGTGAATATGGCTCTTCCATTTTACAGTGTAAAAGTGTTTGCATTGATTTTTTGTTGTTTTTGATTTTGGCCTTGTTAAGAATCCACCCCTGTTACAAGAGCTGGAGGGTCTCCATTGAGCACTGGTGCCCTGGTTGGAATTGCCACTGGCGTGGGTGCGTTTGTTCTACTTGTACTAGTGATTTGTTGTGTAGTGTATCGCAGACAACGATACACCACACAACGCAGACAAGCAGTGTTTTAGAAATATATAGAGAAAAGTATAAGGAATACAGGTGCTGGTGTTATGGAATCAAGGGTTTGAGCTGTCCTCTGTATTCTTCATTGACTGTGAGCTGCTTGGAGTTCGGATGATTGAGTATCCATTACAACTGACATTAGAACAAGTGGCTCCATCTTAAAGGTTGTCTTGTATTTGGAACTGCTGCAGAGGAGAAACATTCTCTAACAGAAGGAAATCTCTTGCCTCTTAATTACAACAGGCAATGGGGGAATGGTGGAAAATTACATGTTCAACCAAGTTATGCAAGTGATACTTAATGTCTTGTTTAAGTGCTACAGTTTAATGTGTAAATGTTTGTGTTCTTTGCTGTTCCCTGCTTGGTCTCAAGAGCCTCTGCAGGTGAATATGGCTCTTCCATTTTACAGTGTAAAAGTGTTTGCATTGATTTTTTGTTGTTTTTGATTTTGGCCTTGTTAAGAATCCACCCCTGTTACAAGAGCTGGAGGGTCTCCATTGAGCACTGGTGCCCTGGTTGGAATTGCCACTGGCGTGGGTGCGTTTGTTCTACTTGTACTAGTGATTTGTTGTGTAGTGTATCGCAGACAACGATACACCACACAACGCAGACAAGCAGTGTTTTAGAAATATATAGAGAAAAGTATAAGGAATACAGGTGCTGGTGTTATGGAATCAAGGGTTTGAGCTGTCCTCTGTATTCTTCATTGACTGTGAGCTGCTTGGAGTTCGGATGATTGAGTATCCATTACAACTGACATTAGAACAAGTGGCTCCATCTTAAAGGTTGTCTTGTATTTGGAACTGCTGCAGAGGAGAAACATTCTCTAACAGAAGGAATTCTTTTGCCTCTTAATTACAACAGGCAATGGGGGAATGGTAGAAAATTACATGTTCAACCAAGTTATGCAAGTGATATATAATGTCTTGTTTAAGTGCTACAGTTTAATGTGTAAATGTTTATTTGTTCTTTGCTGTTCCCTGCGTGGTCTCTAGAGCCTCTGCAGGTGAATATGGCTCTTCCATTTTACAGTGTAAAAGTGTTTGCATTGATTTTTTGTTGTTTTTGATTTTGGCCTTGTTAAGAACCCACCCCTGTTACAAGAGCTGGAGGGTCTCCATTGAGCACTGGTGCCCTGGTTGGAATTGCCCTTGGCGTGGGTGCGTTTGTTCTACTTGTACTAGTGATTTGTTGTGTGGTGTATCGCAGACAAAAGAAACAGATTGACGAGTACAAGGAGATTTACTTCCTAAGAAGCTCAGACTACCAGGTAATCTGAAACTTCAAAGATTTGATAATTAATTCTCCTTTCTAGTTGCAGTGGATTTCTTGTGTAATCATTGGAAATGTTATTGTTCTATCAAGATAATACTTGGAAGCTGTGAGGGGTGCTTGTGCTCATCAGCTGTTTTCTACAGAACATCATAAACATAGCGATGTATGGTTCTCATAATGCACTGCTTTTGTGTTGTGATGCTTGTTGATTAAGTTACAGTATCATCTTTTTTAAAGTGATAATTTAACTATAACTAGAAAGGGAAGTGTTAGTTTGTTAACTGGAGGGAAGAGTAAGGAAAGGAGAGAAATAGCAGTTACCAAATGATCTAATCTACCCCAGTGGGTGCCTGTATTTTCGGACTTACATCCCACTGCTAAATGGTTTTGAATTCTTTTTTAATGTAAATATTATGGATTAGTAGGTCAGTGGAGACTAGTGAGACTAGTGATCTACTGACTGACTAAGACTTGGAGTTTCCTTCAGATAACACTTCGTGTAAATATCTTCATTGCCAATGCAGACTTCTTTTGTGTTCAGATCGAGCCTGACCGTAGTCTCCTGGAGCAGTGCGGTGATCTGCCGTATGACCCAGACTGGGAATTCCCTGAGGAGAGGCTTATTCTCGGGGATGTGCTCGGTGCTGGGGCCTTTGGTCAGGTTATGAAGGCAGAAGCTATCGGCATCCTGGCCCTTGAACCACGTGACAAGAGTGCTGAGTCATTCAAGCGACGCTCAAAAATACGCAGGTCCTCGCGGGCCAAAGATCTGAAGAAAGAAGAAGGCCCTGGCTGGAAAAACACAAGGATCCCTGTAGCAGTGAAAACCTTAAAAGGTCAGTGACTGGTTTCTTATTTCTCCTCGCAGTATCATCCTTGAATAAAGATTAAAGGTCATGAGAATATAGGACATGATCACCAATTCCACAAGCTCCTGATTGTCATTGAATTCTCATTGTCAGCACCATAGGAAACTTAACGAGAACAGTGTGGAGAATTTGGATATTAATGTCGGGCTGTAAAGTGTTAAGCTTAATATACTTATGCCTTTCACTGATTTCTTTTTATTCACGCGACGAACCTCGTAGTTAAAGAGGAATTGCTCGCATTACAGAGTTCGTTAGTGATCGTTTTCTTGAAATTTTGGATTTTTTTTTTATATTTTTGTCGCAACTGTTATTTCCATTGTCATCCTCATTGTTAGTCCGTTTTGCATTTTAATCGGTGTGAAACAATTTTCCTACAGAGGGTGCCAGTGAATCAGAATACAAAGATTTAGCCTCAGAACTTAAGATCCTTATCCATCTCGGACAACACAAGAACATTGTGAATCTTCTTGGTGCTTGTACGCGTGGAAAGCGACTCATGATGATCATGGAATTCGCTCCCCACGGTAGCTTACTGTCTTTCCTTCGAAGTAAAAGGGACATTTATGAGCCAGACTGGACGAAGACCACAAATGATCCCAATAAAGAGTTTACACTTGTCGATCTCGTAATGATCAGTTATCAGATCAGTAGGGGAATGGCGTTCTTGGCATCAAGGAAGGCAAGTGCCTTTTTTTCTTTAATTTAGTTGTAAACCGCCAGGTTAAATTGTTTTGCCGTAGTTTTGTAGCGCAGACATTATTCATTCCTTGAATTACACGGACTAAACTGTTTTGGAACTTGCTTGACAACCAGGAACTTCTCCTTTCGGCGCTACTTATCTGATTTGAAATTAGAGCACCACAGGGATGCCAAAATGAGAGAAGTCTAATTTCAATAATTTTAAAATACCATACTGACATACGTAACACATCCCTCTCCAGTGTGTGCATCGCGACTTGGCTGCAAGAAACATCTTGGTTGGTGAAGACTTTGTAATGAAGATCGCAGACTTTGGTCTTGCAAGAGACATTTACAAAGATGATCTTTATGTGAAGAAAACACAAGGATTACTGCCAGTCAAGTGGATGGCTCCGGAGTCTCTGTTCGACAGAGTTTACACTGAGAAAACGGACGTGTAAGTTCTGATGATATTAAGGCTTTACGCCATTATGCGTGTCATTACATTGTTGACGTTCCGTTGCTGCAATAATCCCACCAATTCAAAACAGTGTAGATTTGTGATACTGGTGAAGGAGGGTTGAGGTGAAATAAAGTTCGAATGTATACAACTGGGCCCAGTTGTTCGAAGACCGATTAGTGCTAACCCAGGGTTAAACTTTAATCCAGGTTTCTATATTTTTCTGTTCAAAAGCCGTTTTAAGATAATTTTCCCAATTCTTCTTAGAGCATTCAATCACCAAATTGTTAACGAATGGAATTAAAGTGAATTTAATTTTAAAGTTTTCAGATCTGCAATTAAATTTTACACTAACCCTGGGTTATCTTAAACCACCTTTGAACAACCCGGCCCTGGACTGCACACCCCTACCAAGAACTCCGGAGAGGGAAGAGTAATTCCATTGGGATCGTCCGCTACTGTTTCATATCAAGGTTGTTTCTAAAGCTTAAATTGATCTCATTTTTCTATGGTTCAGGTGGTCTTTTGGTATTTTGTTGTGGGAAACATTTACCCTTGGGGGTACCCCCTACCCCGACCTCCCAACGGAACAGCTCCTTGACTACCTGAGTGAAGGGAGGCGGATGGACAACCCAGCGAAGTGTCCATTGGAAGTGTACACCGTCATGAGGGACTGCTGGCTTCACGACCCGGAACAAAGGCCACCATTCACTTTCTTAAACGAACGACTTGGAAAAATCCTGGAAAGGCACATGAGAACGGTATAGGATTATATGGCAACTTTTTATCTTATGACATAAATTTTTTTACTGGATCGCCAAATAGCGACTATGAAAAAAGTTAAGCAAGGTGCTCAAGTCTTCACGAAGCCTGTGCCACACCCGAAGCATTCAATTTTTCTTTGGTCTCATGAAGTCATGATTTTTCTCTCCTCTCTCCGTTAGGACAACCCTTACCTTGCGCTTGAGTTGGACGATGATGAAGGTGTTGAGAGCCAGGGCTATTATCTACAGCCGTGTGATTCAGGTCTGCGAAACTCCAAGCGATATGTTGAGTCGCCAATTTGCTCTCCGACAAGCGAACTTCCGCCGAATACGGACAAGGAAGGGGCTGGAATGGGGTAAGTTAACAGCAATCAACGAGACTATATATTTATTGACAGTATTAGTTGGATGGCCTTTGCTTTCTGTCGCTCTGCCTTTTTTTCACGTCAGTCAAATCAGTCGCCAAATTCT